CCAGTAACCCACCAACATTAAATTAACCACCTTTCTTTTGACATCTTGCACTATTGTGCCCAGTCTTACCACAGCTTCGACATGTATATGGCTGACGACAAGGCTTTTCTGTGGCAGCCTTGAATCTTTTAGTCGCAGGCCTGCCCCTATGCTTGGTAATCGCTGGATTTTCAATTGTGGAATTATTTTCCTTTTCACTTTTTTCGCTGTCATCACTGTTTTTAGACTCTTCATTTTGTATTAAAAGACGCTTCTTTTGATTAATAAAGCGTTTCAACCATAGTTCTATATCATTATCATCACATTCTACAGCCAATTGCATAGCTTGCCGTGCAAGACCCCAAATTTCACCAAATTTAGAACATCTGGCTGCTGTACTTTGGTTGCTTATTGCTATTGAACGGGGAACTGTAAAAGGTTGAGGAATCAAAGGTGCTTTTTGACCTTATTGAGCTTTACTAGCATCTGAATTTGTGAAAATCATATTTTCCTGATCAATTTCTTTTTTCTTACTATCACAATACCAACGCGACGCCACCATTCCAATATGAAATCCAGAAATTCGTGACACCAACATTACTTGAAAGTAATGTCAACATAGAATACCACAGAATATATTTGACATACATGTACACATATAAGAAATAGAATCAAGAACAATAACGAAATGTTTTCTCTGGCTGTTTCCAGGTCGTTTATCAGTGATTTGCCAAATCTCTTTAATATTAATTTAATCCACTTTTGATATCATTGACTTAAGTAAAATCTGCTTCGCATCATAAATATCTTCTGTAAATCGATCATCTATATCCTCATTCTCATCATCCAATCCAATTACTGTTAAGTCGACTAATGCTGCATCAAAGTATAAACACTGTGCCATTTCAGTACGCTCAATAGAAAGAATTTGTGGGTTAAGTATTCTAAGAGTATATGATCAACAGCAGGCAATATTTCACTACTAACAGACACAATTCCCACACATGATGACAGAGTCTGATACTCAAAAAAACGGTTCCACTTAGCCTCTTTTTCTAATCGTGAATCCAAAGTCTTTACCAAATCGCATAAACTATCGTTGCTATGTAATACTCTTTTGATGATATTGTTATACCTATAGTATGAATAGAATTTAGTATAACATATCAGATATTAGTCAACATCATAGAGTAAAAATGCGCAATCTAAATCATAGATTAAGACAGACAAGTTGATCTCAACTAATATCTGACACAATCTTAAATTGTTCTAACCCAATTTATACATCTACACTTAACCCAAACTCTAACCCATAAACCTAACCAAATAATAATTATGAATCTAACTCTAACCAAATCAAATTATAATGTATTAATTTACAACATACCTTTCAACGTGTGATGTAGTTTGAATTCCTGCTGTGAAAACTTTGGATGTAAAGACACAAGTCCATGAGTAATGACTAGGATAAAGGGTCAGATTTAGGTAGCTTGAAGCAGATAGAAACTTTTCTAATAAAATTTTCAAATAGCATCTCGTCCAAAGTGTTACGGCAGAGATAAAAGTCTTTGACAAATTGATCATATGCATTACCTAATGTTCCCTTCAAATTCTTTGGAAGATTTTGGCTGATATGAAAAATACAATGTAATGAATGAGTATTTTCATACACTTGTTTTAATGCACTATCCATCGCTGGATCTGCATCTGTCACAAAAACCATAGGCTCAACACCCGTAGCTTTCATAGTGCACTGGAGAATCCATAGGTATGAGTCAACAGTTTCATCAGAAACTAACGCTTGTGCAACTAAACGAGATCTCGTGTTATTATCAACAGCAAGGAACAAACTCAAAAGCATCTGATATCGATTCGTCTTAGATGTATTATTATTTAAAATAACATCGTGATATTCTAGCCAAAGAGATATCTGTTCAGGAGTCATCCAGAAAATCCGGGTGAGGCAGTTATCGCTATCTAATTCGAATTCAATACTCCAACCTGACTCTTCTGAATGCTTCTCAGTAAGATATAATAAAAGCTGTGAGGCATCATTTTTGAGATCTTTAGACTTAACTTTATAATATTGAATAGCGTTAGCGAGATCCATATCTAAGAAAGTTGCATCAGGGTACTTTGCTCTTAGTAATTGACGCTGTATAGTAATCGAAAGATTTCCATTTTTTGTGCAAAACTCAATATTGTTCAATGCTTCGTCTCCAATTGACCTGAACTTAGCATTGTATTTACACTTTTCAGGATCAAGTTCATGGTTGTGGGTATTTACAAATATTGTAACTGTAATGTGATTGGATTTTTTAGACAAACTTAGATTGATATGCTATTCACATTCTTTACGTTTCGATTGTCAGTTGCGGTGAGTGTTAATGTCGATACTCTTCTTAGGTACATATTTTCCTCCAAACTCACAACCAAAAGATCGATGTCTAATTACACCATCATTACGCTGTTCAACCCTTATTTTAATAACAGCAAACCCATGATACTGACTATAAGCTTTAAAAAAAGCTTCAATGTTATCCCATGAAGGGAACGTATAACCAAGTTTTAGTAAGGAAAAATTGTATTGCGTTTTATCTAAAAAATAAGTTTGCAAGCTTGAAATGTTAAAGCTAAACCTATAACAAAATATAACTTCATACTACAGTATTACCAAAACCTATACTGTTAACATCCTCAGTAGTTGCTTCATCATAAACCGCATTTTCGCAGATGGCATTAGTCTCAGTGTCAATCGTATATGAGCTATTAGGTTGAACATTAACCATGTAGGAGGTACTGAATTCAGAATTTACTGCAACAGAGGTACTGGCTTCAGCAGTAAATGCATAAGAAGTGCTAGTTTCAAGATTTGCCACTTGATTAATTATAACCGTATAAGGGGTACTGGCTTCTGCATTAACCGCATATAAGATACCAGTTTCAGAATTAGCCGTGTAAAAGGTACTGGCCTCAGCATTAGTCAGTTGAGAAACTATATTTAAACGTTGCTTCTACCTGTTCAATGTCAAATTTATTAGTTTATAAAAGTGCAATAGTATATGTTACTCCTAAAAACAGTTAAGAATGTTGTCGTGTCACGAAATCAGTTAAAAAAAGATACAAGATAAGTTCCATTAGAAGTTACTTGAAGAAAAGAGTGCTATCACGTTATCACAAACTGAGAATAAATACGCATTCACATACACGTGATCTTCAAATTTTATATCTATTGTGATGACTAGAAAACGGTGACTCAGTCGCTTCACAATCCAAAAACTCGTGTAACCTGGGTAAGTAACCTTTCGAAAGAGGTGCGTTAGATTTGGCTGGTGGGTGATTTAAGGCTTCGGTTACTTTGGGTCAGTACGCTAGGTCACGTG